TATTTATTGTATATAAACATCATATTTGCTTACCTGTAAAGCCGTAAGCTAAATAAATAAAGCCCTCATGATTTATCACCAAATAACGATTCTCGTTATATACATCGAGAGCTGTAATAAATTAATTAATAAATCAATATTAATTAAGTCATTTAATTATAATATTTATTTATTTTAACTAAATAACTTTTAGCAAAATTATTAATACTAATTTATTTAAATATAAAAAAGTTTATTTAATATAAGTTTTATATATTATATAAAAGATTATTTATAAAATCAAATATCTATATAACAGAATTTATATTTATCAAGTTTAATTTTAATATAAATATAATAAATATATTATATAATAAACTTTTTAGTTTTATCTAGATTTTATTAATTATAATTACTTTATTTTTATAATTAATTTTAATATTATTACTTATATTAAAATAAAGTTATTTTTTATTAGAATTTATTTAATAATTCTTTTTATATATTAAAATTAAATTTTTAGAATAGCTTATAATTTGTAATATAAATAATATAAATAGATAATTAATATATAAAGAATAACTTTTGAAGTCAAAGAGATAAAGACTTTGAAAAAAATATAATTAATAAAATTATTTCTGATTCTTATCAATATTATTTCAGCTTTTATTTCTTTTAATTAATAAGTTTTGTTCTTTTTGTGCTTAATAAAATAAAGACTTCACTATTTTAATTATGTAAAAGAAGAAATTATATTTAATTTAATATTTATTTGACTTTTTAAATTGTTAAATTATATTTTTGTTTGACTTTTATATTATTATTTATTTTATTTTATTATTATAATAAATATATTTTGAGCTTGAAAATATTATTATTTGAAAGTTAAAATAGTTATTTTATATATTCAGATTGAAGTTATCTTTTATTAGTAAATAGTTATTATTTTTAAGTTGAATTAATATTATTAATGCATACTTTTTTATGCATCTTTTTTGAATTATTATACTATCTTCATGTCTATAATTTTTTAATCCAACTAACTTTTGAATTGTGTATAACTATAGTATTAAATGATGTCCAAGTATCTATAATACAAGAAATTTTGCTAGAAATATTCTATAAAAATTAAAAAAAAATAACTATTATATATTCAAAAATTCAAAATGATGGCTAAAAACAGTAAAATTTGAGATAAATTTAAAAATTAATAAATAAAATTAAATAAAATATCAAATTACTTTATATATATTTTTTATTGTATTTTGGAAATTTTTTTGAATTTCATCTTTTTTATTTATGTTTGGCTTTAAGATGATTTGACATACCAGAAATACTATCTTTATTAAGAAATAAGAATTTTGCAATAATTGAACTTTGATCTTTTTTAATTTTATAAAATGTAAAGTGTTCCAAAACTCAGATATACTGTTAATAAGATAATCTGCAGTTTTCCTTTTCTTGTTAATTCTTTAAAATTTCATGAAATTATTGTTATTTAAAAATCATGAATGGCGAAATAGTTTAAATATACACCCCTGCCAAAAGTATCCGTCACTTTGTGATCAGCAAATAAAATTGCGCCCCGTAGCTTACATTCAAATTGAGATATCTCGCCTTACATCTAGCTTAATTTCAAGTTTCTTTTTTTCCTGAATAGACAAAGACGGTAGCTTTCAAAAATCATAAAACTACTTTTTAGCTTTATTTACTGTATTTTATGAAAAATGTCTAAGTATTGTGAACTCAATGTTTTCGAACGTGGAATGATTATTGGACTTCACAAGGGCAAGCACAACGTTACAGATGTTCAAAAAATACTCGGAATACCCAGAACTACTTGCACTGATGTCATTAACAAATTCTAAAACAATGGACTCACTGAACCTCTTCCTTGTTCAGGAAGACCACTTCTTTTGACTGACCGTGAAGAGTGAACTCTTGTGCGAGTGACCAAAGATAATAGGAAAGAGTCGCTTGATGAAATTATTGAGCTGTTCAACAGCTTAGGCCTTACCCAGATTAGTAAATTTTATTAGAAGTCGTTAATACACTTTCTGAGCAAACTAAATTTGAATGTTTGATAAAATTTTCGAAATAATGTACATCATCAAAAGTGACGGATACTTTTGGCGGGGGGGGGGGGGGTACATTTGAAAGTAAATTAATTAACGGTAATTATTCGAAAACTTATCATTATTGAAGATGTCTGTTCGAATAAATTCGGTTTACCGACTGATCGACGGCAATTACCGAACCATTAGGATCCCTTTTTTTGTAACCGGTTTTTCTACCTGGAAATTGGTATATTCTTTCATATAATAAATAGCAACATGTTATGACAAAACATAAAATAAATAAAATCAAAACGATGTATAAAGTTCAAAATAACATTATTCGCTGTTCACGTATGATGACACAATATTAACTGCAGGAAAATAGGTTTCGCTGCCAAGATGCAACATGTCGATTACCAATTCTCAATATCATTTATGGCGGAATGATTTTTCTGATCGTATGTCAGACGGGAATTTGTATATTAGATATAGCGACGTCTTAAAAGGTTTTCCTATTGAAAATAAGCTGAAGAATGTATATTCGAGATTTGAGATAATATCTTTTCTTTTAACGAAAAAATCACACTAACTATTATCATGATGTAATTAACCATTTTCGTTTCATTCATGTTTGTCAATAATGATACTGTCCATTTCATTCAAGCTTAATTTTAATTTTGCAATAATGATATAATGATAATAATGATACTGTGTCAGAATGGGAGTTTTATTCCTAACGCTGACGCTAAAATAATCAGTGTCACCCATGGAAATATTATTGAATCATTCAATTCTTTATTCTTCTATTGATCTCAAAATATTTATGATTTATTTAGGTAATTAACAGTATATGCATGGATATTGAAAAAGAAAAAAAACGGAATTTTATAATTGCCCGAAAAGACCACGCTATTTTTTAAAAAAGAATATTTTGACGTTTTAAGAAAATAACTAACGTTGATGCATACAGTAAGGATTTATTTATAACGATTCAAAAAAGTGATAAATTGTTTGCTTCCTGTAAATTATTTCATCATTATTATAATATCGATATAGATGTTAATATTTTTCACGTGTATGACATTTCTACATGTACATCGACATGTATTTGAAACGTTCACATGTACATATCGATATAGTTATTTGAAACGAGAAAGGGGATATCGATATCCAAAAGAAGTAACCCGAGTGTACATTATTTTTTCTTACTATTACATATATATCAAATAGAAGAAGAATTCGAATTTTATAAATTTTAAAGATTCAATTTTTGAAGATAAAATTTTACTTTGCTAAAGCGTTTTTCTTTTAATTGCACAAAGACAAAGAAAATGGATAATACAGATGCATTGTTTGTAATTTACATACTTTGGACATGTTCACTAGTAGCAGCTTTATACATGACATTTGCGTTCTATCGATCGAGAAATCTACTTCTTGCTGTTTTCTGTGCAGGTTATAGTCTAATGGCTATTAATATATTACTGGCATTAGTATATATGGGTGATATGAATAATGCACCTAATGCAATTTGCATTTACCAAGCCTTGGTGGTAATTAGATTTCTTTTTATTCTCGAAAGTAATTTGTACATAGAACATAATGAGAAAATTGACAAAATATATAAAATATATGGATAAATAAGATACAATATAGTATATTTTTGATGACAGTCACAGTTTTTTGCTTTTCCAGACAAACTTTTGTTCTTTTAGTTTTATACAAAGCAGAAAAGGTAACACTCACGATATCGTATATTGATGTTTTGTTATAATCCAGATCTATTCACTAAATTTTTATTCGAATAGGGATGGAGCACGAAAAGAGCTTATAGCATTCTAATTCTTGTATATCCGATAATTATGACTTCGTTATTGGCGATCGTATCACTATTAGACAATTCCATAAAACCAAAAATTTTAAATTGGTAATCAACTTTTTATCATTTATACTAGGCCTTATGTTTACATTCATCTAATCTTTTTTATCTAAAATAAACAAGTGATGTAACTTCTCCAGCAGCTATCCGAATAGTTGCAATCATTTTTGATATGACATTAGGATCCTTGGGAATATGGTACAGCGGTGAGTATTTGGTTTTTTTTTGCAAAATTACTAGATAAACTTGACTTTCTTTTTTTTTATTATTATTTTATTCTAATAGCTAGGGCAGCATTTGCAATTTATTCTCACCTTTCAAGCTTTCGTGCTTTCATCGGCAGAGCCAGCTTAAGTTTAGCTCCGAAAACTAAAGAAAATTCCGGGTCTTCAACGAGTCTTACGAACTATGATACATTTACGTCAATTCCATTAGAAGACATACAAAATTCCAGTGACAACAATATTGAAATTAAACATCCCATCAGCGAAGCTTCAACTCCAACTTCTAAATACAACCATATTAAAATTAATCGTTCCTTCAGCGGAACTTCAACACCAACTTCTAATGACAACAATATCATAAACAGCCGTTCCTTCAGCGGAACTTCAACACAAACACCAACACTACCTCAGTCCATATATGACCCAAGTCGAATGAGAAGTCGCAAAAATTCAAAGAATGTAACAGAACCAAGAGAAGATATTTTGTCTGAAGATATAATAGTACATGCACAAATTAATAGAAACCTAAATCGCGAGACTACTAATACTACCATAACAAATGCGGCAGCTGAGGAAAATCGAAAAAGATATGTGGTTACTCGAGCCGCGGCTATACGAATGATTTTATTTTGTGTAATATTCGCTGTAGTTAATTCTGTCAATTCATTTCAAACGATTATACTCGTCATACATAATACCGAATATGATATGAAGCAGTTGAACATGGTCGATTGGGTAGCTTCGATTCTGGGAATTTTGGTGTTTTTGGTGTTTGTCTCGTCACGCGATATCCAAGCAGCAAGTTCGCGGAAAACGAAAATTTCCACTAAATCGAAACTAACCGAATGCTTAAAATGGTCTCGACGCAAATCGAGCGCGTTAAGCTCAAGTGGAATGTCGATACAGAGCAATGTTGTTGTTTCGGAATTTAACTCTTTGGAAGAAGGTCTTAGCCAAAGTTAAAAATCAACTCTTCCTATAGATGAACAAATAACGTCCCCCATTTCCGGGACGTGCGGCCCCGGGGCGGGATCGCCTCTCTGGAATTCTTCTCGAGTAACGAGGACATTGTGAATTTGTATATACAGATACAGTAGATTTGATTTAGCTTATTTGTGTCGAATAATAGGACGGTATAATGTCTTAGTTATAATTCGGCAAAGAATCGTCGCTTTGAATTAGCGATAGATGTTTGTTTGAGTATAAATTTAATTTGATTTAAAACAACGATTAATTTAGACATAGCAAATATATTAAGTTAGAAGTTAAAGAAATGGGTGGCATTAATTTGCGTCGACGGTGATAATTTCGAAATTAACATAAATGGAACTACGAACGAATGATTTGCTTAACGCGCGTAATCTTCAGTTCTGTTGACGTCTAACCTATGTTTAAATCTATAGACGAGCCATTAGTGAAGACAAAATCAGACTCTAAAGATAGATTGTTGATAGATTCAATTTTTGTGTTTATTAAGTAAACTTTCCAAAGAATTATATATTATGCGGAAATTTCTGATAAAGTAGATGAAACTCACAGAGGCGAGTACTAATAGAAAAACACTTAATAAAACTAAACTTTTTGAGGCGAGAACTCAGCTCGCGGTTTATTTCCTGTTATCAATATATTTGTTTGAGTTTTGTAAATATGGGCAAGAATTTTTTAGTAACATTGTGCAGCTTGCTTTGATTTCACAATCTTTAAAGAAATAAATTTTAGAAGGTGTCCAAATCGTGTGCCCAACATTGAATGTGAAAGACGAGTTAAGCCCTCACACGCAAGATATGCAGTTCGGCTTCATGGCCTATGAAGTAGTCTTTTGAATGCTTAGGAATTGGTTCAGTTTTTGAAACATATTGCAAAAAAATGGTTTTGAACTCCAAATTTTTTTTGCACGAACATGAAAAATTACAAAATTAATTCCGCAATATTTCAAAACAACTTTTGTATATTGGATTTCATTTGAAATTATTCAGATCATGTGCTAAAAATACCTGATACATGTATATTTTAAATAAAGTGATTTGCAAATGTGTAAGATTCTGTTTCACGTTTATAAAACAATTAACCGCTAATAGATATCATAGTATCTATATTCATGCAAAAGAGACAATATGAATATAAATAAAAATATAAGGAAACAATCACAAGTAGAGCATGTCAGCACCAGTTATTATTAATCATTTATCAAAAGAATAACGTCATTTTCTACTGAGCAGGAATTTAACACTTCACATCCCCAGTTGGATCTTATACCAGGAAAACCCGATAATTATAATGTCAACTGAAATAATAATGGAAATCATTATAGACAAGGTTACAAATATATATGCTTAATTATATAATATCATGTATTATATATATTATACAATTAAATACAACGAGCCAATTATTCAATTCACGACTCTACGATTAATTGATGGGACACAAAGTCCGTCAATGAATAATATAATATAGGTTAGTCTTCTCTGAAATCTCTAAGTTTGCAACTAAAGAGTAAACATTGTTTAAATGGTGATGAAAGGGAATTTCCTCAACTGACATCGATAGGATAAATGATTCTAAATTTGATGTATCACCTATCAAAGCCTTGGCAAATATTTTTGTTAGGCTAAACTCGAATTCATTTTCTCAGTGATTTAATAATATTTTTGCGTAAATAATAAAGTTATTAACAATCTTAAATCCCAAAATGAAATCAAATCTATTAGCAGTCTTCGACTATTTTGTGATATCATTGATTATTTATTATCCACTTATAATGTGTTCTATATCATACAATGCTATGCAATTAGTATGCACATACGTAACTTAATGCCAGTCCAGACTTGATATGTACGTTAAAATACCGATAACGTCATCGTTATATGTTAAAAAACTTTTACACTAAAAATTGTTATTTTTAACAATACAATGCATTCAGAAAACTCCGAGTAAACAGTTGTTTCTTATAAGCTGACGCGTCCGGCAAATTGATATTCATTATCTTTGTCTTTCAAAAAGATCTCGCATTTACGTTCGTTACACAATTCCATTTCGAGTATAAATGAAAGGCGTTTGTGATATAAAACCTTCATTCAAATATTTCTATTATAGGAGTAATTTTGCCGACTCACCAAAAGTTTCTATTGAAAAATCTTTATAGTAAAGACAGTTAGGGTTCACGTGGTGGCACTTAAACAAAGACCAATAGCAACTTGACACTAGTTCAAAATAAATATGTACCTATATATCAAATTTTAATATGCAAATTTTTATAGTATGCGAGTTGAGATAATTTTTCAACAAAAGATTTTGTCGAACAAAAAAAATACCTTTATTGTTCTAATTACTTTTACGTTTATTTATCATTATTACTTTTGAAATGGGTAAAGATAGTATCCTAATAAGTGCTAGGATAATTGAAAACTATATTTTTGCGCAGAATTTAACCGAGAAGCATTAAAGCTATGCGTATCGATAATTTCTTATAAAAGAGCTCAAAATCTCCTTTAAGAAAATCGTTCGAACTAAAATTAAAACATACGATTATGAGCAAACAAAATATTCTATGGGTTGATAACAAACTAAAGGGTCGCTTACCTTCTCATATTCGGATGACATTACCCTTACCCATCTCTGATGACGATCTTTTACCGAGACGTAGTACCGCCAAAAGAGCTCAGAACAAGTTTCTCATTTATCGTAAAGCTCTATTAAATAATCTTCTCAAACACAGATACACGGAATTCAATCAGTGTGAAGCGGGCCAGCTCGCTAGCAAACAATGGAAACATGAACGTCCCGAAATTATTGCTGAATGTACGAGACTTGCAATTAGAGCGAAAGAGCTGTTCGAGCAAAATAAAACCAAAAAAAATCCTACACCAGAAGTTTTTGAAGCAAATCAAAATACGGATAACTCTAATTACCTCATTGACTGTTTCTATGATGAGATATTCGATCAATATTTTTGCTTAAATGGTTAAAAATTTATGTTTCTAGTTATTATCCATCCTTTTTATAGGCTCCATAAAACTTTTTTACACAATTAAATATTTAAAAAATTCTCACATTAATAAGCTTTTTCAAAAAAGTTAATAGATTGTTTAAAACAAAATTCCTTCTTGATGACCTAGATAAAAATTTTTTTTATTATATTAACGCAAACGAGCTCGTAATTAAAGTAATTTCAGATAACTACATGTACATATATTAAGATACAAACAATTATTACAAGCAAATGTATTACCTTTTTAAGAAAAAACAAAGGACGGAATAACTGTCCGAAAATAAAATACGTACATGTACATATGTAGAATGAAATGAAAGTCATGTACATGTACATGTACAAAGAAATCATTCTCAGTTAAGATTTTCTATCACGAGTAAAGATAACGATATAGTACTGTATCTAACGCTAAGAACGTTATACTTGGTATCTGTCAATTGTTTTCTTACCGGCGAAACCGCATCAGTCACCTCTGGGACATTTGAGGAGATGATCATTACCTTGAAAAATCTACAAAATCAAGGATGTAAGTAAGTATAATAAATAAAGTATTTTTGCATACATACATCGAAAATACACAAACTTAACGTTAGGAACCGTTATTTCTATCAAAACCAAATTTGCGGTACTCATTCCATTAATAATAGAACTTCTTGCAGCACGATAAGCCTTCGGTCGATAAATAAGTGTATATTTGTTAGTTAAAATGTTCCTTCTAAACATTAACTCAATCACTAGGTCAAAAAATAGATGTTCTTTCTTGAAAAGATTAACGAAAACGTTTAATGACAAACTCTTGCATATAATGGCGCTCAAATTTGCAATATACATGTGATAATAATAACTTTTCGCACACAATGACAATCATGATGTAATATATAGAAATCATCTCCTTCCCCCGTTTACCTGAATCAAGCGATTTCTTTTGATCGTTTTGATCAAAAAAAATCGAAATCCCATTCAACTAGTAAATAAAGCATTAAGAGTCTTAAATTACCATCTGGTATACTCACCTTTGCATCAATTAGCTTCATTAAAAATGCATTATCTGTTTCAATCCAGTTTTTTTGCATCGCATTCCAAAGTTGATCTTTGAATATGAATTATTGTGAATGATGCTTGAAAAGGTCAATCAATTATGTTAATGTTATTATCCTTAAACCATTCATAGGTAGAAGTTGCCGTGTATTTTGGATCATTGTCATATTGAAGATAATATCTTATTAATATTGTATCATCTGATTATTTATAAAAGATTGTCATTCAAAATATCATGAGGTTATTCTTTATTCATATTGTCATAGCTATTATGTAGTTCTGGAAGAATTGTTAGTCTTTAAGGAGGAGTCAAATATCTGTGCCAATATCTACAGATATCATTATTAATATTAAATTTTGGCTGCTTTAGGGATTTTATATATACAGAGATAATTGTGAATTATTTATTATTTGACAAGTCTTTTATTACTAAATGCCTTAAACTCTTAATATTCTTTTGATCATTTTTATATCTTTTTTGATACAAAGAATCCAATTATCAATTAATTTAATAAATTAATATAAATCTAAGTGATTTAAATTATATAAAAAATTTATATATAAATAAGTTAATATATTAATTAAAGCTTTAAGCACACTTTGTTTATTCTTCTATAATTATTATTACAAACTATACTCTGGAAGATAGGTTTTATTACAAATATAGTTTATAATAAGTTTTGAGAATGAAGACTGAATTATTTATAAAGATAAAGAGAATTACTATTATTCTAAAGATTTTTTAGTGCCAATACTTACAAATATTGTATCAACACAAGATAAAAACAAAATAAAACAAATATAAAAATGAAGTTGTGATCATGATTACTAAACTAAAAGTAGGTACCAAAAACTAAAGCAACAAATACTTATAACCAAGACAACAAATGTCAAATGTAACAAATGCAAAAACTAAAGTAACAAATGCTAATTCTAAAGCAACAAATACTAAACTAAGCTTTTATACAAAGAAAAGCTTACAAGAATCTCCTAAATCAAATAAAATATACTTGACTTATTTTAAATAGAGAACATTCACTATCTAAGATTTTCAGGCAAGAAAAACTTATAAATAACCAGAATATAATCTATTATGATAAAAGAAATAAATAAAAGCAAGATATCAAACAAAAATCAAAGGAGAATTACAAGATAAGTATAATTCAAGTATTATTAAAGATAATTGAATTATTACTATTCAAGTATAT